ATAGACTTTGAAATTCACTTTAAAACCGGAAGTAAATATTTAAGCATTTTTCAAGTCCCAAAGTAATTGAAAACGTTTGAAAATGCAAAACTACATTTAGTTTTATTGCTTCTCTGTGAGCATTTGAGGAGATATAATTTATTTAAAAAGTCGTCGAGTATCCATTTTGGGATCAATTTATGCACGTCATATTTTATTGATGAATTGGTGTCAAGTCTCATTTGCGCCTTCGGGAGAAAACCTACGCGTAAAACGTGCCCGGAAAGTATGCAGGCACTTAAAATATGCGACAACAAATTCCGGGAATAATATAGATAACAGTTACCATTACGAACTAGTATGGCATGTGCATATTGTGAACATATGAAAAATTCAAATTCCAAAACTTGCATTCTTGCATAAATATTTTCCTGTAATTCCTTTACATGTTATGTTTGATACATATACGTCAACTCCAACATTAGCTATGTATATGTATAATATAAAAATGAATCGCAAAATCTGTTGGTAAGCGCATAACTCAACAACGCTTTGACCAATTTGGCCAATTCTTTGTTGAAAATGTTTGTGGAAGTCCAAGGATGGTTTTTACGTCGAGAAAAAAATTGAATAATTGCCGGGAAAACCCTAAAGACAGCCTTTTTCTATAGGATAAAAGTTGGCAATGAGATTCAATCATAGTTATAGTTAAATAGTTGAATACAAGATGGCGCGTGAAGTGCATTATTAGCAATCCCTACTAATATTATAAATGCGAAAGTCCTGATGTTTGTTACACTTTCACGCAAAAACTACTTAACCGATCATCATGAAAATTTGTACACATATTCTTAGTGGTCCCCGAATGGTTATAGGCTTTTTATTTAATAAAAAAAATATTTATTAAATAAAATAAAGAAATTGTTTAGACAATAATACCTCTGCATCTGGCTATTTGACTACTTTAACGCCATCTAGCATTCCAGCAATGAAGCTCAAACTTAAGTACTATAGTACCATCACACTGTTTTATCACACTGTATTACCGACCCCTACGTCAACATCAAATCCAATTGACTACACTATGGAGACTGTACACTATACTTCCATAGACAATACCTTTCAGCCATTTTAAACTTCCCGCCATTCTACTTCATTGTTACTTCTTCTGTGACTACAGACGCGTACGGAAGCAACTTCATTATTTTAGATATTCGCGAGCGAAGCCGCGGGTTAA